CTTTTGACAAAATCTATAGCTTAAAATAAATATATCCTTACACATGTATAGTTGGTTGCCTATCAATCCTACAAAATTTCATAAATTCTAGTTGACCTACATTAATTTTTAAAAAAACAATTTTCAATGTTACAAATATACCTATTTGATTAATTTACAATACAGATTACAATATTGATGGTTGATACTGTTACATTATTATAATTTTAACTTTTTCAATTTTAAATAAGGCTGACATCTGTCAATTTTAGACAACTACCGTAAGTTACACTGACTGCTCTGACACAACATCCGTCCTAACTTGTCAACAATGTCATTTTGATCAGTTGTTATCAACAGGTCCTCGTAGACACTTCGTCTCAGGACCATTTTACTCATGTAGAGTTATACGCCGCCATGTTACCTATCCAACGGTAACTTAACCATCACAAATTAGAAATACTAATAAAGTAAAACAAATTCAAATTTATAACATTTAAAGGGTTTTTACCCATATATTTTGGTGGCTACTAGCATGTACAACCGTAAGTATTAACCACATTTTGCTCTAACCTTTGTCAACATTTTCATTTAACGTTCTTTTTAATTAAAGTGGTTATATACTTTCAGGTTTGCACTGATGATGGATTGTTTAATCCGAAAACGTTTTGCAATCTGTTTGTGATAGCCCGTTTGAGGCATTTTTATATACCTTTTATAAAGGATTTTAACAAAATTTTTTTTTTATATTGTATTGTTTTTTTCTTATAGTGCTCAACGGTTCTTCTGTAGGGGGGGTCTTGTTATGCTTCCAATTAATACCCATTTTGCTGTCAGTACTTTATGGTCCGTTCCAAGTTCCACATTCACGCTCCTCTTCTGACTCGCACATCTTTGATCTTTATTATGGTATCTTGTTTGATTATTATGTAGTCTATTACCGATTTCAGCTTGAAGATTAAAGATTGTAGATTGAAGCATTGGTACACACTCTAATACATCATAAACAATATGCTTATAAAGCAGGGAATTCAACCAAGACAGAACTCCACAGACTCAAAGAGGTGATGCTGGAAGCCTTTGATATAGAGGGGACTTTTGACGACACTTCGATAACATCCATAACTAACGTCCTGAGACGTAAAGGAGTCGAAGACATATGTTTGAACTGGATAGAATCTATGGTCAGAAATAGAGTGGTAAATATGACTATCTTTAAAGAGATCGTTGGCCCTAGTCGGTCCACAGAGAGAGTTCTGTCCCCACTGCTGTGAATTCTGTTAATGGACGGACTAATAGAAACTTTAAAGACAAATGGTCATAAAACAATTATATATGTGGATGATTTGGTACTCATCTCGCAAGGAAAGCACAATACAACAGTCAGAGATCGCTTGAACAAGGCCCTAGAACTATCGTGACAATGGATTTATAGAGAGAGACTTAATATATGTCCCCATAAATCCACCATAGTCGCCTTTCAGCTCAAAACTGATTCGCCTTGGTATATTACTTTATATTGTCTTTAAGCCACTTGTGAAAGTAATCCTCTGTTTTTTGTGAGCAGACTATACTCTATACTATCTTATTTGTTGGTTTTAAATGTTAAAATACTTTTTTACGAACTATCTAGCACGTGTGCCTTTATGACGACTCTTTGATACAATAATTCTTATTTATGTTGGTGATAAGCCTCAATAAATCTTGATTGTCTTGAATGTTTTTTATTATAACAATGAGGTTCTATACTGCGCAGCTGAAACCATTATCAATATATAAACAAATTGTTACAAATGATGAAATATCGAATTAATTTCCTCGTTAAAAATCTCTACCAATCAATCAGTACTATTGTTTCCATATTTATCTGAAACAGTTGTATATTGGCTTGTTTACTTGCTCCTCCTTATCACGTGTGGATGGATATATGTAGCAATAAAAGTCCTATTGACAAATAGTATGGTACTAAATTATTTTTGGTTGAATTAGAAAACGTCATTATAATTAGGTTATCTAAAGACATATAATGATTTACAACGCATGGATAAACGTATCAATAGGGATGTTTTGATAAGGGAGTAATAAAAATGTCAAGAATATATTTTAGATTTACTAGTTCTATGTAGAAAAAAATCTGTTTAGTGTTTTTCCTTCTCACTCGTGTCATATTTCCACTATCATTCATTCTAAATATAAAAACTTGTGATTTTCTCGACGGTATAAACAACTTTATAGAAAATGTTCAAAAATATATATTCACTGATAGAGGCTAATACAGAGTGTCTAGAAACTCTTCTGACAAACGAAGACTAGAGATTCCTCATATAATTTTAAAAGAATTTCATCCAATTTGCCTAGTCCGAAAATAATTCTTAACAGGTTCACTGTCCACAGACCACATATTATGGTCTGTGGACTAAAAGCACTACCAGTTGACAGACCATACGTGGTCTGTTCGTCGATACAATTTTCAGGTTGTTTATAAAAGTGAACGTGGGAAAAATGGCGTATATTAAACGTGGACTTGACAGAATATATCCCATATATTATAAATAGTGTTGGGACAATGGGAAAAAATGTGGAATTTTCTCGTAATTGCGATACAATGTAATATCAATGTAATATTTAGCGAACTAAATAATGGATATGTAAAATAAAATAATATACAATATAATGAGAACTAAATATTTATTGAAAAAGAAAAAGTATCAAAAAAAGTTACTATGTACTTTTTGGAAACATCGTAGACAATACGGTTTGGTACAGATGTTGCATATTTGTGAAACTCTTTTGGCTTTATTAGTGGCAGCTGCTGATTTTTATGGCAGGTGTCTGGACAACGTTTATGCCCAAAAGATTTTTGTACATTTACTTTGCTGGTTCAATTTATTGAACAAATATACTGTATTTATGAGACCCACTCCAAACAGAACATCGACAGCAGCTTTTTTGTACCAGGTCAAGGTCTTGCGAATTGGTGAATAGTAGCTAGCCAATTCGTCAGAAAGATCGATACCCTTTTTCCGATTATTGTATTCCACTATCGTATTGGGCTTTGGACGCGGATTTCGACCAGTACTCATTGTTTAACAGCAGAATTGACCACAGATATACGTAACTAATAGCCAATATATATATAAGGAAGCCAAAACAACAATTAAAGTATATGAAGGAACAAAATAAATACAAATAAATAGAGGCGTAAGACAGGGTGGCACAATATCACCGAAACTTTTCGGTGATATCCACAGTATCTTAAGACCAAAGTATACAATCAATGCGTATTCCCTGTTCTTACTTATGGTTCCCAAACGTGGACATTTACAAAAGCAAACATGGACAAAATCATAAAAACCCAAAGAGCAATGGAAAGACAAATGTTGCACATAAGACTAATGGATAAGAAGAGAAACGAGTGGATAAGAGAGAAAACAAAAGTGAGGGATGTTAGACAAGAAGTTGCAAAATTGAAATGGAGATTTTCCGGACACAATATAAGACAAAAGAAGACCGATGAAACAAAATTCTTATAAGTTGGAGACCGTGGGAATATAAACGAAGCAGAGGAAGGCTCCAAATGAGATGGGCAGATGATATCAAGAAGCACGTGGGCTCTAGGTGGATTACTGTAGGGACAGACAGAAGAGAATGGAACAGTATTGGGAAGGTATATGTCCAAAGATAGACCGAAGAAAGCTAATTAGATATATAGACAGACTCATCGTTTGTTCATCTGCGTGACAAGTAGATATCATAAGGACGTCCCTCTTGTCCTTCCATTTTAGGATCGTCACATTATATTTTTGTGCAGCAATTTTCTCTCCTCGCTTCAGTTTCATTTTTGACAAATAAAGTTAAGTTTTTACGATTTTTGCATATTGTCCCACAAATATCAGTTTTGCATTGAAGCAAGTCTTCAGCTAGTGGAACACTGGTATACCAATTATCTGCAACAATAATTTTCCCCTGGTCTAAAAGTTCTTCACAAAGCTCGACAATCACGCTTCCAGATTTATCAAGATTGGAAATTTGAGGATCTTGGCCAGAATAAACTTTATATTTCCTAACATATCGATCATCCATTTTGGCTTTGTAAATCACTAGTCCATACTTGTGAGTTTTGTTTGGATTTTACTGATGAATCAGCAGTCGCCCCTGAAAAGGAACCATGGAATCATCCACAACAACGCAATCTTTTGGCGAAAAAAACTTTCTGCTGTTTCTGATTACAATGTCTATATCTGGTTGGAATTTATGCAACAAGTCATTATTAGTATCTCTGTCAATTGTATTGTCAACAAAATTCCTGCAGCGTAAAATTGTTACGAAGCGATTGTAGGACATTTGTATCTGGTGCAAGAAAGGATGATAAAAAATGGGATCTTTTTTCCAGTAGCATTCTAATGTAGGTATAATCAGATATACCAGTCAGCAAGTACACGCCCAAAAACTTTTTCCAATTCTTCCTTGTTTACCGGTTTCCAGCGACTCAAACGACCTCTAGCATTATTTGCAATAAGTTGTTCAGCGTATAGGTTGGTTTGTTCTATCAACTCAAATAAATCATCATTAACCAAAAGACGAAATATTGCAAAGACATCTGCATATTCTGTAATGTTTTCAGTATGTATTCCATGCTTCCCAATGCTCGTGCATACCAGCACACAAACACTGCCGTACCATGAGACAATGAAATGTCATAGCAGTTTTAATTATGTCAATAAATAATTTAAATATATCATGAAAATTATTAATAACCTCATCTGTGAAGTAAATAACATCATTTTAGAAGTAAAACATCATAACGCATTGTTCAATCAAATGAAAGAGCTAGCCCTGCAATTAGATGACTATTTCAATTAGATGTTTGATTACACAACTGATCGTCATCTAGCTGACCTGTTAAACGTTATCTTCGTGGTCGTTAGCCACTCAGCTAATCAACATTCAGACATGTGATTAAATGGTGTTGTTCTATAAAACGGATAATTTAACCATCTGGCTGCGACATATATCTTATACTCTGTCACTGTCAAAAGTATGTTTATTTATTTTAAAAGTATGTCCATGACTTGTAAATAAACTTTATTTACATAACTAACGTAGAAATATTTAAGATGCTATTTGTTATCGCGATTTATTTTGACTTGAAATTAATAACACAATTTTGAAACTATGTCTGAAGACTGTGAGAAGACTCAGCAATATATAGCAGCAGTTTGTATATGTATAGGCGCCTTTGGAATTGGCACTGGAATTGGATGGACTTCGAACATAACACAAGACCTCAAAGAGGGTGAGTTGAACGAAATCGACATGACAGATTTAGAACTTGGCTGGATGGGTGCAATGTTGACACTTGGAGCAATATTTATGTGCATTGCAGTAGGATGGATCGTTGATATGATAGGCAGAAAAGCAACAGTATTATTTAGCATATTTCCGTTTTTGATTGGTTGGCTGCTGATTACGTGCAGTGCCGAAATTACCCTAACATATATAGGAAGATTTCTGGTTGGTATAGCTGGTGGGAGTTTTTGTGTCATAGTTCCTTTATATACTAGTGAAATTGCACATGATAGCATTAGAGGAGCATTGGGCACGTTTTTTCAGCTTTCTATAACTATTGGAATATTTTACTGTGGAGTATTCGGATTTGTTTTACCTCTTATCGCGTTTAATATCACTTGCTGTGCTATTCCAATTCTTTTTGGAGTGGCATTTTTCTTTCAGCCTGAAACACCAACATTCATGCTAAAGCAAGGACATGTAGAAAAAGCAGAAAATACATTTAGAAGACTGAGAGGCGAAAGCTACGATTTTTCTGCAGAAATGAAACAGATATTATTTGATATTGAACGTGAGAAGTACTTTTTAAAAGCTTTCGAAAAAAAGTCGACCAAAAGAGCTTTGCTAATATGCTTCATGTTGATGTTTTATCAACAACTGAGCGGAATCAATGCAATAATGTTTTATTCCCAAGAGATTTTTTACGTTTCTGGATCACAAATAAGAGACTCTTATTGCGTCATACTGCTACAGTTCATACAAGTGATTGCTACGCTTTTATCTACTCTCACCGTAGATTGGTTTGGAAGAAGAATCCTCCTTTTAACCTCTTCTGGATGTATGGCCTTCTCTACAGCCTTTATTGGTATATATTTCTCTTTAAAACAAAGTGGAGTTCTCGGCAAACATACTGGTTTTAGTTTTATTCCTATAATGTCCTTAAACATATTCATAATTGCTTATTCGTTCGGATTTGGACCCATACCATGGATGATACCGTCTGAAATGTTCACTCCAGAAATAAAAACAAAATGCAGCGCTATGGCTGCCACGTTTAACTGGACCTTGGCCTTCTTGGTCACGAAGTTTTATTTTCCATTATCAGAAAGTATCGGTGTCGATAGTTCTTTTTATATATTCAGTTTTATCTCAGCTACTGCTATATTATTTGTTTATTTTGTTATTCCGGAAACGCGTGGAAAAACATTCGCCCAAATTCAAATTGAGTTAGAAAAGTAATATAAGATATCTTCTGTTTTATTGTTGTTTTATTTTCTTTAAAATGTTCAAAGCAATGAAAGAGTTAGGTTAGGAATACCAAATCATTTGGTAAAATAACAAAACTAACTCTTCAAAAAGAGAAAAATATCCCAAAAGATTGGCTACTTTCAGAATTTATTACCTTACCAAAGAAACAGGGAGCAAAAAAGTGCGGAGAATATAGGCTAATAAGTCTAATGAGCCATACATTAAAACTTTTTCTTAAAATTATACATCGTAGAATATACAAGCTATGCGAAGAGAGAATACAAGACACACAGTTTGGATTCATGAAAGGCGTAGGTACAAGAGATGCACTGTTTAGTCTACAAGTATTATTTCAAAGATGCAGAGATATGACTTGCGATATTTACACCTGCTTTGTGGACTACCAAAAAGCATTTGATACAGTTCAACACCAAAAAATGATGGATATTCTAACAAAAGCCCAAATGGATGATAAAGATCGGCGTATAATACAAAATTTATACTGGAACCAATCAGCCACAATAAGAACGAATTTTGGAGATGAACCAACGGAAATGATCCAGATTCTACGAGGCGTTAGATAAGGTTGTATACTTTCACCTATATTATTTAATCTATATTCAGAGGAAATATTTAGTGGAGCCTTGGAAAAATGCGAACATGGAATACTTCTAAATGGAGAACGCCTAAACAACATCCGTTATGCAGACGACACCGTTATTTTTGTAGACAGTTTGAACAGTTTACAGCAACTAATAAACAAAGTAAATGAAGTAAGTGAAAGATTTGGACTTCAAGTAAATATAACAAAAACTAAATTTATGATCATCTGCAAAAATAAAGTTAGAGACTCTCAACTACTTACACATCATCATCAATACACCAGTGGACCGAGTAAAACAGTATAACTATCTTGGAACAACAGTAAATGAACAATGGGATCACTCACAGGGAATAAAATGTAGAATAGAGAAGGCTAGGAGTGCATTCAATAACATGGCCAAACTCTTTAAAAACCACAATCTTAATCTGGAGATAAAAGTAAGGCTCCTACGATGTTATATATGCTCAATATTGTATTACGGAGTTGAATCCTGGACACTAACTGAAGCAATGGAGAAAAAACTTAAAGCCTTCGAGATGTGGCTATACAGGCGAATTCTAAGGATATCATGGACAGACAAGATAACCAACGAGACCGTATTACGAAGAGTGGGCAAAGAAAGAGAGGTGATGTATACCATTAAAAGGAGAAAGTTGGAATATCTCGGACATATAATGAGAAACAGCACTAAATACAGATTACTGAAGGTAATCCTACAGGGTAAAGTATTCGGAAAGCGAGGAATTGGGAGAAGGAGAATATCATGATTGAAGAACCTGAGGAAATGGTTCTCCACAACAACAACGAATCTATTTAAAGCATCAGGTAATAAAATAATTATAGCCAGAATGATTGCCAATATTCAGAACGAATAGGCACTGAAAGAAGAAGAACTCTTCAAAAAGTTGAATGTAGAGTATGAATTCAGGGGTAACTGGCTCAATATATAATAAATCAGTGCAAATCCTGGCCTATGCTGATGATAGCAATATTGTTAAGAGAACGGAAAACGCTGTATGATAGGCGAATGTAGTATTTAAAGGATCAGCTAAAAAAATAAGTTTAATAATAAACCCCAGCAAAACGAAGTATATGAAAATAAGCACGCAACCACAAATCCTACGGCCACTTATTATAGAAAACGACGTCATCGAAGCAGTGAACGAATTTGTATACCTGGGAGAGCTCCTTAACTCTGAAAATAATACTACGGTAACGTAATGAGGGTCCATATCAGAATCATTAACATTAGAAGATTGGGAGCTAAACACCTTCCAGAAGAGGTGCTTACCAATTTAGAACTGCTACCTAATAGAATATAAGAAAATAGAATATTCTTTATTAATCCCATCAGATCAAATTGTGATATAGGACAATAGTACGTAAAGCATGATCAACAAGTTATATAGGACAATTACATAAAAAAATCAATTAAATATAGATTAATATAAAAATAAAAAAAGATATGCAATATAGAGCGTCTCCGAACCCGTCGGTCCTCATTCCCTCTAGTCTTTTATTAAGTCAAAATAATCATTTAGGTTGTAAACGCATAATTGGATCAAGCATGCTTTTAATTTATTTTTAAATTTATGAATATTATTTTCATTTCTTATATTAAGTGGCAAACAATTGTAAAATTTAGATCCTGCAAAATCAGGACTGGTTTTAAAGAGAGTTGTGGAATGTTTACACACGCTTATCAACCTCCCGTGTCTTGTCGGGTAATTATGAAAGTCAGCGTTGAGGGTAAAATTTTGAAATTTAGTTTTGACGTGAATAATACACTTATAAATATGTAAAGCATGAAAAGTCAACAGCCTGTGTTCAATTAAATATTTACGGCATGATTGTCTATTATCAATATTGAATATCAATCTAAGAATTCTTTAGAGTTTCCCCACAAGACAATATTATAGGCCATATATGAATAAACCAATGCATAATAACCATTATTCATTGCAGACTTTAGTATCATTTTCATCCCATGTTATATTTTTTTCTTAAATGCTACCAAGAAATAATGTTGTATTACTAAAATCATACTAATGTTGTATTTCCTCAAAACTAACTGTGATTTTATAACCATGGGAAGGCTTACAGCGCGAGTAGTACTGCATACAAATAGTTTTCTTTGCATTTACCATTACTAAGTACTGTCTTACTAAGTTCATTTTTGATATGAGTTCGACTTCAGTTAACTCGTCAACTACAATTGATGAATCATCTGCATAAAGAACTGTATGGTCTGCAGTTAAAAAATTTGTCAAAGCATTGACATATAAAAGAAATTAAGGGTCACAATAAGGAGCCTTGCTGTATACCTTGATCAAGAATAAAAACAGATGACTTCTTATTATCGACTTTTACTAGGAATTTACGATGTTGTAAGTATGACCTTAACCAGTTCAAGAAATGATCCCGAAAACCAAGGGCTTCTAATTTATGCAGTATAATTTCAATGTCAATAGAGTCAAAAGCCTTAGTTAAATCAAAAAAGAGATGGTGTTAGAAATTAGAAACACAAAAACATGCAATGAATATAAATATCTCGGATCTATAATATCTAAAGAAGGCACTACCAAAAGAGACATCGAAAACAGAACACAGCAGGGAAAAAAAGTGGTAAATATTCTAAACTCTCTACTTTGGTCTAAAGATATTAGACAAGAAACGAAATTGACAATCTATCGAACCTTGGTAGAGCCTATTATGACTTATGGGGCAGAGGTTTGGCAGATAACGCAGAAGGATAGAAAAAGAATAGAAGTAGTAGAAATGGATTTTCTAAGGAGAGCGTGTGGTATATCCAAAAAAGATCACATCAGGAATGAAGATATTAGAAGGAGGACAAATACTGTATATTCCAGTGTAGATAGAATTGAAACGAGGCAACTAGTGTGGTATGGTCACGTGAAACAAATGAATGAAGATAGATGGCCAAAGAAAGCTTTAAATTACATACCACAACAAAGAAGAAGAAGGGGAAGGCCTTCAGTTGCCTGGGAAGATATTGTACGGCACATAATGAGAGATAGAGCCATCAGAGAAGACGAATGGATGGACAGAAAACGATGGCGGTCGAAATGCGAGAAACGGCAGAGGCTGTAGGAACCTCGCTTATATATATATAAGTCAAAAAAGAGTGCACCCACATACCTTTCTCGATCCAAAGCAGCGTGGATATAATTAAATAATGAAATAGAAGCACTCTGTAGATTTACTAGGAAGAAACCCATGCTGGCATTTATTTTAGATATCATATTTATTCAGAAAATTTAACATTTTACTATAAATACACTTTTCGATAATCTTAGAGGGTACACTTCTTACGGTAATTGGCCTGTAATTATCAACCAAACATGGATCTCCCTTTTTGAAAATTGGACTAACTACTCCCGTTTTAAGGTCACTTGGAAACTTGCCATCCTTGACAGATAGGTTGATGATGTGAGACAGAATAGGAGATATATATGAAGAAATATATTTAATTATTTTAGTGGGAATTTGATCAGTACCTACTGAGCTGGTATAGTTTAAGGAAGACATAGAATTCTCAATATCAAATGGTAAGACCTCAGAAAAAAAATGTGTTGTTAATTGTCATAGTTTTGAAATCGTTAAAGGTATAGTTATTGAAATGTTTTAATAATGTGTGTTTGACTGATGTACAAAAATACTCACCAAATTTGTTTGCTATGTGTTCTGGATGTACCAATAATTTATTATTATCAGTAATACTCCACTCAAAATTTTTTTTATTTTTACCAGTTTGACGATTCACAGTTTTCCATATCTCCTTCCATCTTTTATTATTATTTTGATTATGTAAATAGCTTTGATATGAGGCTTTTTTTATATCCTTTACCTTACGGATAAAGTTGGCCTTTTATATTTTATAGTTATACATTAAATCTGGATTACCACTAACATTTGCTAGCCAAAATAAATCTTTCAGCTTTTTACTAAGCTGAAGAATTTCAGTATTGATCCATTTTTTGTTGGTATTAGTAGTTATGCGTTTTGATATTAAAGGACATGTTGTATCAATATGATATGAGACAGAGTTCAAAAAAGCTCTATATGCATCATCTACATCAATTGAATATGTATAAACATTTTCGAAATTCTCAAAATCAAGACTCAACAAAAGATTAGACAAAAAATTCCTTGATAAGTTTCTATAAGTAGCTATCTGGGATGTGGCAGTATTGTTACTCTCAGATATGTTTAAACTAAAATGAAGTCCTAGATGTTCACCTAAATTGTAGTTCACGACAACCTCATTGTATAATTGAGGAATATTGGTAAGAAAATAATCTAGTTTCGATCGTGAAATTACACCGTTTTTGTTTGCAAAAATTCTAGTTGGTTCAGTATTTTTACAGTTAAGTCCAAAACTAATC